CAAGGCCAGCTGTGCTGGCCTCGCCCCCCGCAATCCATCCCATGTGTCCCCACCATCATGGTGGTGGCCTGCCTTCTGTCAGAACGCTTCTTCGTGCTCCGACTGTCTGTTTGTCAGCCAATCAGAGCGCAAATAAAGCATGACAGACTTAGGCTTTTATATTAGATTTTTTTTCCTCCACACATGCATGCATACACACACACACACACACACACACACACACACACACACCTGACAAATAAGGGGAGAATGAGTCACACTGAGAAGGCTTCCTCCGCCTGTAAAATACCATATTAATTCGATCCCAAGATGAGCCCTCCCATGCAACATGGGGAAAACAAAGCCTTGCCTTAGAACGAAGTTAAAGTAAAAATTCAGCACCTTTAGTCAAAAGCAGCAGCAGAAACCCACTTTGAGAAGCTTGGGGCAGCACTGGACCCAGGACAGAGTCATGGGGCAGCACGACATCCAGGGCAGAGGCACCTGGCAGTGCAGTACCCAGTACAGAGCAGCATGGGAGCTGGCGTGAAACCCAGTATAAAGGCACCAGGAACTATGGGACATGGCCAGGGGAATTGGGGGGGGGGGTGAAAGAGGGCAGGGGACAGAAAATGAGTAAGAGGGACAGGCAGGCATAATTGTATATGTATAGAATCTATTTGGGAGCAGCCATCTTAAAATCTGAGGTCATCTTTAATTCAGGCAAATATGGTGAGTCTTAATATGGCAAATATGGTGAGTCTTAATAAACCTTCCTGCCTTCCCTGAAAGCACCTCAAATGCCTGCAAGAGATGATGCATAGATACAGCAGCTGTCAGCTAGCCAGGATCTAAACAACTGAGGGCCTAGGACATAAAAGTAAGACCGCTTAAATTTCATATCTATATGATGTGTATACCATCTTGTTAGTTCCTCACAGTGGCAGATGATAATCCTCTAATGGGGATTTAAGTGAAGTGCAGCAAGTGCATGGATGATCGTACAAACCTATGCATAATAAAGACCTTTTGCCACAAGTTTCACAGCAGCACATAACATGGAGTCCAATTTCCCGTTGTTGCTGTGGCTGACTCATCCTTCACCATATGCACTTTCTGTTATTCAAAAAGGTAACCTTCTTCTGAAAACCTTCCCTCATCTTGGCATTCCACTGCTTTCTATTAAATGACCAAGCACACCAAGTTAAATAGCAGATTGCACTCAAATCAGCTTCAACTTTTACACTATCCTTAGAGTGCTTTCTTTGACACCTATGCTTCCCCTTTCCTAGGGTTACCATAAGTCCAGGTTTTCCCAGACATGTCCTCTTTCTGGGTCCTCCCATCTCCATCTGGGTGGTTTTTTTTTTTTTTTTTTTTTTTTTTTT